ATCATGACAACACATGGGGCCACAAGCAATCAATTATTACAATTCATGGGGCAACAGGTGAGCAGTGTAATACATGGGGCAGCATATGGGCAATCATCACAAAGCATGGGGCAACAGGTAGACCCTCATGAAAATACATGGGTCAACAGATGGGAAATCGTGACAATACATGGGTCAACAGGCAGATAGCCATGACAATACATGGGTCAACAGGTGAGCAATCAGTGTAATACATGGGGAAGCATATGGGCAATCATCACAAAATATGGGACAACAGGTAGACCCTCATGAAAATACATGGGGCAACAGATGGGAAATCGTGACAATACATGGGGCAACAGGCAGATAATCATGACAATACATGAGGCAACAAGTGGGAAATCATGACAATACATGGGGCAACAAGTGGGCAATTGGGACAAATCATGGAGCAAAAGGCAAACAATTATGACAATTCATGGGGCAACAGTTGAGAAATTGGTAAAGCATGGGGCATCATATGGGCAATCATCACAGTACATGGAGCAATAGGCAGACCATCATGAAAATACATGGGGCAACAGATGGGAAATCATAACAGGACATGAGGAAACCTGCTGGTAGTCAGAATAATACACAAGGCAACAAACTGGCAGTCCGTTACAAATTCATGGGGCAACGGATGAGTGATTACAGTAGTACATAGGGCAGCATATGGGCAATCCTGACAATACACGGGGCAACAATCTGGCAATTATGACAATGAATGGGGCAACAGGTGAGCAAGCACATTAATACTCGGGGGCAGCATATGTATAATGCACTGACCCATAGCAGCCAATCAGGATTCATCTTTCACTGGTGAACCGTTTTATAGGTTGCTATTGGCTGCTGCATGCCATTGCTTCTTTTTGATTCATTGAAGTAGCTGGGTTTTGTTTTTTATTGGTCCAGCCAATTAATATTAATACATTTGATTAATTTGTTAAGAGATTTGAGGTTTATTTCATTCCTGCCATGTATTGTGTGATCCTCAGTTATTCTGATCTTGTCGAATAAAAACGTTCATGCGCAATATTCTGTCCTGAGTCCTGTTTCTTACAAGTGACTACAAATCCCTGATGATCGTCGATTTGAATGCGATCGGTTCATAGAGAGTCATCCATTGGGATTTTATTAGTGAAATAGAAGGTCCAGTTCCAGAGGCCCCAAAAGATCCAGTTCCAGAGGCCCTAGAAGGTCTAGTTCCAGAGGCCCCAGAAGGTCCAGTTCCAGAGGCTCCAGAAGGTCTAGTTCCAGAGGCCCCAGAAGGACCAGTGCCCCATAAACGTATCCTGGAGAGTGCCCCGTAAACGTATCTCGGACAGTACTCCATAAATGTATCCCGGAGAGTACTCCCATAAATGTATCCCGGACAGTACCCCCATAAACGTATCCGGGACAGTACCCCATAAACGTATCCCGGACAGTACCCCATAAACGTATCCCGGACAGTACCCCATAAACGTATCCGGGACAGTACCCCCATAAATGTATCCGGGACAGTACCCCATAAACGTATCCGAGACAGTACCCCCATAAACGTATCCCGGACAGTACCCCATAAACGTATCCGGGACAGTACCCCCATAAATGTATCGGGACAGTACCCCATAAACGTATCCCGGACAGTACCCCATAAACGTATCCCGGACAGTACCCCATAAACGTATCCGAGACAGTACCCCCATAAACGTATCCCGGACAGTACCCCATAAACGTATCCGGGACAGTACCCCCATAAATGTATCCGGGACAGTACCCCATAAACGTATCCCGGACAGTACCCCATAAACGTATCCGGACAGTACCCCATAAACGTATCCGAGACAGTACCCCCATAAACGTATCCCGGACAGTACCCCATAAACGTATCCGGGACAGTACCCCCATAAATGTATCCGGGACAGTACCCCATAAACGTATCCCGGACAGTACCCCATAAACGTATCCCGGACAGTACCCCATAAACGTATCCGAGACAGTACCCCCATAAACGTATCCCGGACAGTACCCCATAAACGTATCCGGGACAGTACCCCCATAAATGTATCCGGGACAGTACCCCATAAACGTATCCCGGACAGTACCCCATAAACGTATCCCGGACAGTACCCCATAAACGTATCCGAGACAGTACCCCCATAAACGTATCCCGGACAGTACCCCATAAACGTATCCGGGACAGTACCCCCATAAATGTATCCCGGACAGTACCCCATAAACGTATCCCGGACAGTACCCCATAAACGTATCCCGGACAGTACCCCATAAACGTATTCCGGACAGTACCCCCATAAACATCCCAGACAGTACCCCATAAACGTATTATTATTATACAGTATTTATATAGCACCAGAAAGGTTTGCTCAGCACTGTACAATATAGTGGGGGACAGTACATGAGACAATACAGTGACAAAACAATACACGAGGGGTTCGAGGGCCCTGCTCCTTGGAGCTTACAATCTAGGAGGGAGGGGATAGTGGTACAGGAGGAAATGGCTGTGGGGGATGGAGTGGTAGGAGGAGTGGAGGTGATCGGCTGTTAAGTGAGGGCGGGGTAGGCTTCCCTGAAGAGATGGGTTTTCAGGGTGCGCCTAAAGGTGAGAAGGGTAGGTGACAGTCTGATGGATTGGGGTAGTGAGTTCCAGATGATGGGGGAAGTCCTGTAGTCGGGCGTGGGAGGTGGAGACCAGGGAGCTAGAAAGTAGGTCTTGTGAGGAGCGAAGATTACGGGTAGGGTGGTATTTGGGTATCAGGTCGGTGAGGTAGTTTGGGGCAGTGTTATGAATGGCTTTGTATGTCTGTGTTAGTAGTTTGAATTTGATCCGTTGGGCAATCGGAAGCCAGTGCAGGGATTGACAGAGGGGGGAGGCAGATGTGGAGAGGTTGGTAAGGTGGATGAGTCTGGCCGCTGAGTTCAGGATAGACTGAAGCGGGGATAGTCTGCAATGAGGTAGGCCGGGTGAGAAAGGAGTTGCAGTAGTCCAGACGTGAGATAATAAGGGAGTGAATGAGTAGTTTAGTAGTGTCTGGGGTTAGGAACGAACGTATTTTGGAGATGTTGCGGAGGTGGAGTCTGCATGAGTTTGCCGTATCCCGGACACAGAACCCCCATAAACATATCCCAGACAGTACCCCATAAACGTATCCCGGACATACCCCGGAAAGTATCCCTGACATACCCCATAAACATATCCCACACAGTACCCCATAAACGTATCCCGGACAGTACCCCGTAAACGTATCCCTGACAGTACCCCCTAAACGTATCCCGGACAGTACCCCATAAACGTATCCCGGACAGTACCCCCATAAACGTATCCCTGACAGTACCCCGTATAAACGTATCCCGGACAGTACCCCGTAAACGTATCCCGGACAGTACCCCATTGTTTTGCTGCAAAAGCGCGACTACGGCTACAATCACCCGTAGTACAAAAATCCTATTATGGTCCACAAGGTGGAGATCTGACTGATCTCACGTAGAAGCACAGGCAGGAAGTGATGTCGTTATAAACAGGAAGTGACAAGAAGCAGTGTGGTACAGACAGGAAGTGATGTCGTTACAGACAGGAAGTGATGTCAGGTATAAACAGGAAGTTCAGGGTGAGAGGGGAGTGTGGAGGAAGTAGAGAGGAGAGACATTGCTGGAAGTGGCAGCAGTGGAGGTAAGATCTGATTACACTGAGGATCCGTTTCAGATTTTTCAATGAAAAAAACAAAAGTAGGATGCACAATGCACTTCCCAAGAGCAAAACTTCCTCCTATTCCCCTGTAGCGCCCCCACCAGGCGCAGCTGAGGTATCCACACTCTATCTGGGTGAGAGGCAGAGGTCAGGTGACTCACTTCTGGAAATATTCAGAAAAAGTCGAAAAAAAGGGTGTTGAAGGGTGGCCTGCCGGTATTTGCCTATCCAATCTAAGCACTCTGGTAAGTCCATTTCAAATTTGGAATTTCTCACCCCTCCGTCACTACTAGCAATAATCTTGTCCTCCGCCCATCACCTGAACCCCAACTGCCCCCCCCCAGACCTGTACATTACATAGTCTGGATGAAAAAAAAACACACAAGTCCATCCAGTTCAACAGAAGGACAAAAAGAAAGCACAGAAATAGAAAACCTTCATATAGACCATTCTATACCCATGACTGGCGAAGAAACCCAACTAAGCATGATCCAATTTGCTCCATAGGGGGAAAAAGTCCTTACTGATTCCCTGGGAGGCAATCAGATATTCCTTGGATCAAGGACCCCTGGTGCTCACACCCATAATTATGTCCAATTATGTTTTTTGCATTTAGGAAAGAATCCAGGCCTTCTTCAATGTTCTGAGTTCGCCAGAACCAACTCTCTTGGGTGATGTTCCTTCATCTTCTTCGAAAGGGTCACACAGTACTGAGGAAGACATTTGAGGAATATGTGACCTCCGGTACACATCACTATGTGTCAGAAGGGCAGAGAGGAACCCAGAGACACATCAACTGTCCCTTTATCTGTGTCCCGGACTCTTGACAGGTCGTCAAAAGGATACTTGATCTGCTGACAGGAGAGGTGAGCGGTGCCGGGAATTCTGGGACATTCTCCAGTAACAGACAAGGGATGTGTCTGGATGGTGACTGTATCATTGTGTGTGTCAGGTTCCTATAAGGTGTCAGGGTGTCACTGTCTATTTCTCCATGGAGGAGTGGGAGTATTTAGAAGGACACAAGGACCTCTACAAGGACGTCATGATGGACAATCAGCCGCCCCTCACATCACCGGGTAAGAGGAGACTTTATTGTAAAGGGAGAGAGCAGTACGGAGGGTCCACCTAGATCCCCCATCATCTGATAAACACATAGAAACAATGGATTCAGTCAGTGTGTGTGTTTCTGACAGATGGATCCAGTGATGGGAACCCACCAGAGAGATGTCCCCGTCCTCTGTATTTCTGGGATTCCACACAGGAAGGTCACACCATCCCTCACCATCATCAGGTAGATGGATCCAGTCATGGGAACCCACCAGAGAGATGTCCCCGTCCTCTGTATTCCTGGGATTCCACACAGGAAGGTCACACCATCCCTCACCATCATCAGGTAGGTGGGACTTTCCAGAAATAATCCTTTATGATAAACTGTAAATGAGTTGGCATTGCCCTGTGGTGTCTACTGGTTTTAGGGCTTCCATCTTACAGGTGTTATTCTTTGTCTTCTTGGGGTTTAGGGCAAAGACCAGATTGATATGAAAGTTGAAGTCAAAGAGGAAGAAGAAGAGACGTATGTGACGAGTGATCTCCAGCCTACAGAGAAGGTTGAGATGACCATAATAAATAAACTGGAGCGATCTTTCCAAGATATCGGCACAGGTAATGAACATCGACCTCAAAAAAGCTTCCATTTTCACTTTATTTCTTTAAGTATGAGGAATGGAGTTGGACGAAACCTTCTTCAGAATGAATGACTTCATCCGGTAAGATGAAACTGAATTCTTACATGATAAACCACCAAATCTATTACAGGCTGAAGCAGAAGGGGGCTACTTTCTGGATTTGTTTTGTATCGTTCAATATTTTTATTGAAAATCAGAGTAAACTGTGTATTGGATGGTACCCACAGTATACTGGATCAAACTTCTAGTATATTGGACGGTACCCACAGTATATTGGACGGTACCCACAGTATATTGGACGGTACCCACAGTATATTGGACGGTACCCACAGTATATTGGACGGTACCCACAGTATATTGGACGGTACCCACAGTATATTGGACGGTACCCAATATACTATTGGTACGATCCAATATACTATGGGTACCGTCCAATATGCTATTGGTACGATCCAATATGCTATTGGTACGATCCAATATGCTATGGGTACGGTCCAATATGCTATGGGTACGGTCCAATATGCTATGGGTACCCTCCAATATGCTATGGGTACCCTCCAATATGCTATGGGTACCCTCCAATATGCTATGGGTATGCTATGGTTACCCTCCAATATGCTATGGTTACCCTCCAATATACTATGGGTACCCTCCAATATACTATGGGTACGATCCAATATGCTATGGGTACGGTCCAATATGCTATGGGTACGGTCCAATATGCTATGGGTACGGTCCAATATGCTATGGGTACGATCCAATATGCTATGGTTACCCTCCAATATGCTATGGGTACCCTCCAATATACTATGGGTATGGTCCAATATACTATGGGATGATCCCACGCTGAACTGTTGACCAACATTTATGATTCTTCGATGTAAAACTAGAAAAATGACAATCGTTATTTAATAATCGTTTTCCCAGCAGATGAACGATGTGTCAGGAATTCTCCAGGAAAGAACATACATCGAAGACCTCACCGCTTGGAAAGATCGATGGGTCCCTCCAGTGTCGGGGAATCTTCCATAGACTCAACTTCCGTAACTCCAGATATCCATCTGAGATCCCATGGTACGGAGAGACCGACAGATCCGTCCAACCCCAAGGACTCTCCTTTCAGCCACGAAGGGGTTCACACAGGCGAGAGTTCAATGTTGTGTTTGGGGTGCGGCAAATCTTTCACAAGGAAATCTGAACTTCTTCTACATCTCAGATCTCACACCAGCGTGACCTACACTTGTTCGGAGTGCGGGAAATCCTTCAATAAGAAAAGTGAATTTCTGACACATCATAAAATTCACGATCCTTATTCGTGTGCAGTGTGTGGGAAATCCTTCACTCTGAAAGGAGATTTTAACAAACATCAGAGAGTTCACACGGGAGAGCGTCCTTTTTCTTGTTCAGAGTGTGGGAAAGGTTTCACTCAAAAGCCACACCTTCTTACACACCAGAGGATTCACACTGGGGAACGTCCTTTTTCATGTTCAGAGTGCGGGAAGTGTTTCACATTGAAAGGAAGTCTCCTAATACACCAGAGAACTCACACCGGGGAGCGTCCTTATTCGTGTTCGGCGTGCGGGAAAGCTTTCACTGTGAAAGGAGACCTGGTTAAACACCAGAGAGTTCACACGGGTGAGCGTCCTTATTCATGCTCAGAGTGCGGGAAATGTTTCACGTGGAAAAGAGACCTTCTTAAGCACCAGAGGAGCCACACGGGCGAATGCCCCTATTCCTGCGCAGAGTGTGGGAAATGTTTCACCAAGAGAGGAAAACTTATTAGGCACCAGAGCAGCCACACAGAAGAACATCCTTATTCGTGCTCAGAGTGCGGGAAATGTTTCAGATTTAAAGGGAATCTAAAAAAACATCAGAGAACGCATGCCCGTTGATAGGTATACCTCTAGATGAAGGACATAGAAGACAATGACCTCCCCCAGCTCATACCCATCCCGGGCTCCATGCTTGGGAGGAAAACATATGGACCTTCTGAATATACCCAGAGCTTGGGAAGGCAAGATCGCCCTGAATAATTATCTCCTCCCCCACATTAGTGGGGAAAAAACCCTCTCCCGACACCCCGATAGGAGCCCACCTGACTCCCGGGACAAGACCTCCAGTCTCCTGGCTGCTGGTTGGGACCCCTCTGATCCCCGGGTGAGACCTGCTGTCTCCAAACTAGGAGCCCTAAGCTGTCCTCTGGCTTGAGACCTCCAGTCTCCTGGATGGGGCCCCTCTGACCCCCAGGTGAGACCTTCTGTCTCCAAACTGGGAGCCCTAAGCTATCCTCTGGCTTGAGACCTCCAGTCCCCTGGATGGGACCCCTCTGACCCCCGGGTGAGACCTGCTTCCTCCAAACTGGGAGCCCTAAGCTATCCTCTGGCTTGAGACCTCCAGTCCCCTGGATGGGACCCCTCTGACCCCCGGGTGAGACCTGGTGCCTCCAAACTGGAAGCCCTAAGCTATCCTCTAGCTTGAGACCTCCAGTCTCCTTGCTGCTGGATAGGACCACACTGACCCCTGGGTCAGACCTTCTGTCTCCAAACTGGGAACCCTGACCTATCCTCTGGCTTGAGTATATAACAACTCTGCAGAGGAAAGGAAGCCAGCAACTCGATGGCTTGAGACCTCCAGTCTCCTGGATGGGACCCATTTGACCCCCGGGCGAGACCTGCTGCCTCCAAACTGGGAGCCCTAAGCTATCCTCTGGCTTGAGGACAGGAAACCAGCAACTCCATCATCTGCAATTAATGAGTTTTGTTAAAGCAGGGGGGAGCCATATGTAGGCGATGACGTCATCACGCTTGGTGTACTGTGGTGAGCTGTACTACACAAGACCGTGCTGCATATTTTGTGATGTTAAGAGCCATGATGTTTTTTTTTTTTTTTTTTTTACTATGTGAGTGTCTTTGTACTTTTTTTTTCCTTTTAATAAATGATATCCATGAGCACTATTGGTTCCATTTTGTTTTATATCAAATTGCCTGAATGGATGTGTGGAGGAGAGGTTGTGGTGGGGCGGAGAGGAGATCCCCATGGTCAACCCTACCGTAAGGAATGCATTTTCTGGCCTCTTGAATAATCTTGGAGGCCGAAATTGGAGGTGAGATTGGTGGTCAAAATTGGAGGTCAAAATGGAGGTGAAATTGGTGGTCAAAATTGGCGGTGAAATTGGTGGTCAAACTTGGCGGTGAAATTGGTGGTCAAAATTGGCGGTGAAATTGGTGGTCAAATGGGAGGTGAAATTGGTGGTCAAAATGGAGGTGAAATTGGTGGTCAAAATTGGAGGTGAAATTGGTGGTCAAAATTGGAGGTGAAATTGGTGGTCAAAATTGGAGGTGAAATTGGTGGTCAAAATTGGAGGTGAAATTGGTGGTCAAAATTGGCGGTGAAATTGGTGGTCAAATGGGAGGTGAAATTGGTGGTCAAAATTGGATTTGAAATTTGTGTTCTAAATTGGTTGTCAAAATTGGAGGTGAAATTGGTGTTCGAAATTGGTGGTGAAATTGGTGTTTGAAATTGGAGGTCGAAATTTAGGTAAAATTGGCGGTGAAATTGTTCAAAATTGAGGTAAAATTGGTGGTGAAATTGTTCAAAATTGTAGGTGAAAACCACCATATTACTGGATGGAGTATTTCTTCTTCCAATCTTCATCTGATTGACCATGACGGGAGAATCTGCGATAGGATTGGTGCCGGTCTCCTCACATCTATTTAATCCTCCTTCAGGAGAGACTGTTTTGGGGTTTTTTATTCGTCTTCTTGGGTTATGGTTTGTTGGGTTTGTTTTTTTGCGGCACCAGATGTGGTGAAGATTTCATATGATCACGGTGTGATGTTTGTTTATTTGTTGATATCAGATAGATCTTAGATCTATCCATAGATGTGTATTTCATGTTTAACTTGACAAAATAGAAGAATGCTCCATCGGGAAGTAGTCTAAAATGTTTGAAATAACGTAGGCTGCAGATTTTGCACTCACCACTAGGGGAGTAATTGCATTTATTGTGAGCGGAAAGCCCCAAACAGGAAGTGATGTCAGAGTATAAACAAGGAGTTCCGAGTAAGAGGTAAGTTTGGAGGAAGTAGGAGACATTGCTGGAAGTGGCAGCAGAGGAGGTAATAGGATCTGATTTTCTATTTACACCCAGTAACCTCCCATCATGCCCGTCCTCTTCCTCCATTGTCACGCCCATCCTCTTCCTCCATTGTCACGCCCGTCCTCTTCCTCCATTGTCACACCCGTCCTCTTCCTCCACAGTCACGCCGTCCTCTTCCTCCACAGTCACGCCCGTCCTCTTCCTCCACAGTCACGCCCGTCCTCTTCCTCCACAGTCACTCCTGTCCTCTTCCTCCATAGTCCCGTCCGTCCTCTTCTTTCAACGTCCCGTCCGTCCTCTTCTTTCAACGTCCTGTCCGTCCTCTTCCTCCACCGTCCCGTCCGTCCTCTTCCTCCACCGTCCCGTCCGTCCTCTTCCTCCATCGTCACTGTGGCGTCTAGTAGGGTTCATAATAAAGACACATCCTAAATATAGAGCCATTTATCCAAATTTTGGTCTATTTCCAAATTGGGGGATCACCACTCACACCGGAACCTGTAAGATAGCATAACAAGCCGACTGAGATGTCAGAACCGGAGGAATGCACATTATTTACCCCAGGAGAATCCAAAGAGTCTCATTCTGTGATCTGCCTAGAGAGAGGAGCATTCTGCATGGACCAGATGACCACCTCAATGAGGTTGGATGAGAACTGGAGTCAAATGGCAGAAAGGATATTAGACCTCACCCTGGAGATCATCTACCTGCTGACCGGAGAGGTGAGGAGGATTCTGGGAGGTCACATGACATCACTCATCTCTATTAATAAAACACAGACCTGACCGGAGAGGTGAGGAGGATTCTGGGAGGTCACATGACATCACTCATCTCTATTAATAAAACACAGACCTGACCGGAGAGGTGAGGAGGATTCTGGGAGGTCACATGACATCACTCATCTCTATTAATAAAACACAGACCTGACCGGAGAGGTGAGGAGGATTCTGGGAGGTCACATGACATCACTCATCTCTATTAATAAAACACAGACCTAACCGGAGAGGTGAGGAGGATTCTGGGAGGTCACATGACATCACTCTCATCTCTATTAATAAAACACAGACCTAACCGGAGAGGTGAGGAGGATTCTGGGAGGTCACATGACATCACTCTCATCTCTATTAATAAAAACACAGACCTGACTGGAGAGGTGAGGAGGATTCTGGGAGGGTCTTAAAATACTACCCTTGTTCTTTCAGAGTTTATCTCCTCTGAAGTTTGCTGATCTTGTGACCATAAAAGTGCCTTCACCTCACTCACTTAATCCTGAAAGAAAGGACAAGAAGATTCTAGAAGTCACCCAGAAGATGATGGAGCTGCTGACAGGAGAGGTGAGCGGTGCCGGGAATTCTGGGACATTCTCCAGTAACAGACAAGGGATGTGTCTGGATGGTGACTGTATCATTGTGTGTATCAGGTTCCTATAAGGTGTCAGGGTGTCACTGTCTATTTCTCCATGGAGGAGTGGGAGTATTTAGAAGGACACAAGGACCTCTACAAGGACATCATGATGGACAATCAGCCGCCCCTCACATCACCGGGTAAGAGGAGACTTTATTGGAAAGGAGAGAGCAGTACGGAGGATCCACCTAGATCCCCCATCATCTGATAAACACATAGAAACAATAAATTCAGTCAGTGTGTGTGTTCCCTACAGATGGATCCAGTCATGGGTACCCACCAGAGAGATGTCCCCGTCCTCTGTATTCCCGGGATTCCACACAGGAAGGTCACACCATCCCTCACCATCATCAGGTAGATGGATCCAGTCATGGGAACCCACCAGAGAGATGTCCCCGTCCTCTGTATTCCTGGGATTCCACACAGGAAGGTCACACCATCCCTCACCATCATCAGGTAGATGGATCCAGTCATGGGAACCCACCAGAGCGATGTCCCCGTCCTCTGTATTCCCGGGATTCCACACAGGAAGGTCACACCATCCCTCACCATCATCAGGTAGATGGGTCTAGTAATGGGAACCCACCAGAGAGATGTCCCCGTCCTCTGTATTCCCGGGATTCCACACAGGAAGGTCACACCATCCCTCACCATCATCAGGTAGCTGGGACTGGGTACTTCAGAGCCATTCTAAACTCTGTGAGATTACATTTTTAAATGCAGTCTCTTGTTATTAATGCTTACTTCTTATAAACATCATTTTCCATGATTTTTGGGGGTTTAGAGTGAAGACCTGATTCATATAAATGTTGAGGTAAAAGAGGAAGAAAAAGAGACATATGTGATGGGTCAACAGGCTGTGGAAAAAGTTGAGATGAATATGAACCATAAACTGGAGCAATTTTCCCTGGACATTGGCACAGGTAATGAACATTGAGGCTGAACATTTTCCATCTTCATTTTACCTTTTCAAGTATGGGGTATTGGATGTGTGATCTCTTGTCATCATAGATAAAATAATGGTTTCTAGATCTGTGTCAGTCACATAATTCCACAACGTCTGTTCTATCCAGGTTCAACACAAACAACCTCAGTAAGGATAAAACTCAGGAATCTTAGACCAAAGAAACATCATCCAGGTACTGTACCTGCTCCACAATCATATGTTCCATTCCTCAATATAACGTCATGTTCCCAACAAATGAGGAGGAGATACTGGACACCATATGAAAGGTCCATCTCCATTCCTCAATATAATGTCATGTTCCCAACAAATGAGGAGGAGATACTGGACACCATATGGAAGGTCCATCTCCATCCCTCAATATATGGTCATGTTCCCAACAAATGAGGAGGAGATACTGGACACCATATGGAAGGTCCATCTCCATCCCTCAATATATGGTCATGCTCCTAATTTGGTGATATGACGGCACCCATTTCGTTTCTGGGACCCCGTGCAGTCCGGATACACCAACATGCAAGACTGAAATGTAAACATGAAAAACATTTTTTTTTTATGATTTATGTAAAATAATTTTTACAAAATGTAAAATTGTTTCTCAACAGATGGACGCTATCTCAGGAGAACCTCAGAAGACTTTTCTCATAAATCACATTCTGTTGCTCCAGATATAAATCTGATATCAAATAAATCAACAGATTCATGTCATTCCAAAGAATCATTTTTAGGTCATGAAGGGGTCCACACAGACATGAGTTTAATGTCGTGTTCTGAGTGCGGGAAATATTTTACAATGAGACCCGAACTTCTTTCACATCGTAAATCTCACGCCGGTATGACTTATACTTGTTCAGAGTGCGGGAAATCCTTCACTGAGAAAAGCAAACTTATTACACATCAGAAAAGTCACACAGGGGAGAATCCTTATTCGTGCTCAGAGTGCGGGAAATGTTTCACTTTGAAAGGAGATTTGAACCGACATCAGAGAGTCCACACGGGCGAGCGTCCTTTTTCTTGTTCGGAATGCGGCAAATATTTCGCTCAAAAAGCAAACCTGGTTATGCACAAACGAATCCACTCCGGGGAACGTCCCTTTTCATGTTCAGAGTGCGGGAAATGTTTTACTGACAGAGGAAAACTTATTGTACATCGTAAAATTCACACAGGTGAGCGTCTTCATTCATGCTCGGTGTGCGGGAAATGTTTCATTCAGAAAGGAGGCCTTCTCGTACACCAGAGAAGTCACACAGGTGAGCGTCCCTATGCATGTTTGGAGTGTGGGAAACGTTTCACTGAGAAAGGAAAGCTTATTAGACACCATAGTAGTCACACGGGGGAACGACTTTTTTCATGTTTGGAGTGCGGAAAATGTTTCACACTTAAAGGAAATCTACATAAACATCAGAAAACGCATGTCCATTGATAAGAATACCTCCTCTAGACAAATGGATCTAGAAGACAAGGACCTCTCCAAACTCCTTCCCATCTCTGGCTCCAGGCTTGGGAGGGAAAGAAATGGACCTTTGAATTTACACATTCTCTCCAGGAAGAGCCTGGGAGGCAAGATCGCCCTGAATAATTATCTCCTCCCCCAACCCACATTATTGGAAAAAAACCCTCAGTGATTGGGCAAGGTAGAATAAATATTCTTAACCCTTGGAAAGTCCTTCACAACCCTTGGAGAGCCCTTCACAACCCTTGCAGAGCCCTTGGAGAGCCCTTCACAACCCTTGGAGAGCCCTTCACAACCCTTGGAGAGCCCTTCACAACCCTTGGAGAGCCCTTCACAACCCTTGGAGAGCCCTTCACAACCCTTGGAGAGCCCTTCACAACCCTTGGAGAGCCCTTCACAACCCTTGGAGAACCCTTCACAACCCTTGGAAAGCCCTTCACAAACCTTGGAGAACGCCTCACAATCATTGGAGAGCCCTTCGCAACCCTTTGGAGAGCCCTTCGCAACCCTTGGAGAACCCTTCACAAACCTTAGAGAACCCTACCAGCCTTTCTGTGCCTTTACTGAAGATGTTGGCTTGTCATTGGTTGACACACCGTATAATTATTAAAAAATATATATAACTGATTTTTTTTTTTTTTTTTTTAACTCCTTCACGCCAACCATACGCAAATATGCAGCCCCACTGGACTGGGCTTTCTTGGGGCCGTGAATTTGTGTCTGGAAGTGCACTGCACAGTGCGCTCCCAGCACAGAGACCAGGGTCTCACCAAGAGTCCAGGGTTCTGTGGTAATAATGGGGACCTGAAATGGCCGATTCCAGGTCACCTGATCACTAAGCCTCTGATTTGGCTATATAACAGTGATCAGTCACTATGAAGCCCACCCCCATGTTTTCTCTCTCTGAATGGAGGAGAGAAATACATGGTACACTATATTGCCCCAAAGTATTGGGCGGCCAGCCTTTCCACGCACATGACCTTTAATGGCCCCTCCCAGTCTTAGTCCATAGGGTTCAATATTGAGTTGGCCCCGCCCTTTGCAGCTATAACAGCTTCAACTCTTCTGGGAAGGCCGTCCACAAGGTTTAGGAGGGTGTCTATGGGAAGGTTGGACCATTCTTCCAGAAGCACATTTGTCAGGTCAGGCACTGATGTCGGGGGAGGAGGCCTGGCTCGCAGTCTCCACTCTAATTCATCCCAAAGGTGTTCTATGGGGTTGAGGTCAGGACTCTGTGCAGGCCAGTCAAGTTCCTCCACCCCAAACTGGCTCCTCCATGTCTTTATGGACCTTGCTTTGTGCACTGGTGGGCAGTCATGTTGGAACAGGAAGGGGCCATCCCCAAACTCTTCCCACAAAGTTGGGAGCATGAAATTGTCCAAAATGTCGCCTTAGGAGTTCCCTTCATTGGAACTAGGGGGCCAAGCCCAACCCCTGAAAAACAACCTCACACCAAGTTCCTCCACCCCAAACTTCCTTTGATAATTAAAAAAGAAAAAAAAAATATCAGGTGATATTGGTTACCATATCACCACCAAATGAAAGCCCAATTTGTCCTGAAAAAAACACGGTCTAGTCCACCCGGTTGCACAAAGTAGATGTGATGAGACGGACGTTTTTACTAACACAGGTCAATGCTGAAAAATTGTGCTTAGGCATTGAGATTTGTCTCACCCTCAGGCAGGGAAGGGGTTAAACAAGAACTGATTTACATTTAATCATTTATTATCATTTTCCTAAAGAGAAGAAAAGGGTCTATCATTTCAATGCTCTGATCCTAGTCACTTTTTAAATGACCGCAATTCCATTAATTCGATTAAAAATACGATCCATTCACAGAGTTTCATTCATTGGTGTCAGTGGGATCAATAGTGCCTCATCATTGGTGTCAGTGTAAGAATTAGTTCCCCTTCTCTGGTGTCAGTGGGAGAAATGGTATCCCATCATTGGTGTCAGTGGAAGGAATAGTGCCCCATTGGTGGTGTCAGTGGGAAGAATAATGCCCCAACATTGGTGTCAGTGGGAGAAACACTGCCCCGTCATTGTTGTCAGTGGGAGTAATAGTGCCCCATGATTGGTGTCAGCGTGAGAATTAGTTTCCCTTCTCTGATGTCATTGGGAGAAATAGTATCCCATCATTGGTGTCAGTGGGAGGAATAGTGCCCCATCATGGGGTGTGCTAGGAATTGTGCCCCATCGTTGGTGTCTGTGGGAGGAATAGTGCCCCATCGTTGGTGTCATGGCGGGGTGGATCCATCCTGCCTTGTATCAACGGTTCAGGCTGGTGGTGGTGGTGTCATGGTGTGGTGGATCCATCCTGCTTTGTATCAGCGGTTCAGGCTGATGGTGGTGGTGTCATGGTGTGGTGGATCCATCCTGCCTTGTATCAATGGTTCAGGCTGGTGGTGTAATGGTGTGGTGGATCCATCCTGCCTTGTATCAGCGGTTCAGGCTGGTGGTGGTGGTGTCATGGTGTGGTGGATCCATCCTGCTTTGTATCAGCAGTTCAGGCTGATGTTGGTGGTGTCATGGTGTGGTGTATCCATACTGCCTTGTATCAGTGATTCAGGCTGGTGGTGGTGGTGTCATGGTGTGATGGATCCATACTGCCTTGTATCCACGGCTCAGGCTTGTGATGGTGGTGTCATTGGGTGGGGAAGATTTTCTTGGCACACTTTGGGCCCCCTTAGTACCAATTGAGCGTCGTTTACACACCACGGCCTACCCGAGTGTTATTGCTGACCATGTCCATCGCTTTATGACTCCAGTGTCCCCATCTTCTGGTGGCTCCTTCCAGCAGGATAATACACCATGTGACTGAAGGGAAATGTATGTTCATTGCCCTCCATTTTCTCATCTTTTATTGTTTAGATAAATATATAGTTGTGTGTCAGTTATGTGCTATAAGGCCTGCACCCATGTATTCTTTTAAATCTAGTTCTGCTCAAGGCATGAAAACTAACCAATTATTTCTTTGTACTAACAGCACCTGTTTCTGCCATGATATAGATAAAAGTCAATTATTTCTGTCCCATGGGAAAATAACTGTTGGTTACTTGTAACTGATTTCAAGGTCTGAGAAAATTTAGATTGCTCATGTTCACAGCCTTGACAAGTATCCAGCAAAATTCAATTGTATGGTTTTCTTTGTAATTGTTATAATATAAGAAAAAGAGTCTATGAATAAAGTTTCAGATCACTGTCTGCATGGCTTGGTGTGTGCGTGAAAATCTTTCTCCTCGCAGAGAGTGGTCTCTTGAGCTCAACGGGAAACCGAAACTTACCAGTGTTTATATAAGAAAAAACCCTTTCAGATACAAAGCTCAAATCATCTCCAACTGGTTTCTTGAACATGACAATGAGATCACTGGACTCCAATGGCCTCCACAGCCACCAGATCTCCATCCAATAGAGGACCTTTGGGATGTTGTGGAATGGGAGATTCCCATCATGGATGTGCAGCCGACAAATCTGCAGCAACTGCGTGAGGCTATCATGTCAATATGGAGCCAAATCTCTGAGGAACGTCTTCAACACCTTATTGAATCTATGCCACGAAAAAATGAAGGCAAAGGGTCCAACTGGGGACTAGCAAGGTGGACCTCAAAAAGTGGCCGGTGAGAGTACATCAAAGGTGACCCCAGTATCTGTGATAAACTGGAGGTGGTACGAGTGGAGAATGCGACAACTTAAAAAAAATGGACAGAAGATACAGGGCTATGGGAATTGTTAGAGACCAGGACAGGAAGTGATGTGAAGGTACAGATGGGAAGTCTCTATGGAAGACAGGAAGTGATGTCAGGAACAGGCAGGAAGTGATGTCAGGTATAAATGGGAAGTTCCGGGGTGAGAGGTGATTCGGGAGGGAAGTAGAGAGGAGACCTTGTTGGGTCTGGCAGCAGACGAGGTAATGAGATCTTATATATTCAACTTTAAATACATCAAGAAAAATATCCTCCTCCTGTAAGGAGAACAGTTGAGTACTGTCCATGATACTTTTTTTTATTTGCACCAACATCCACATTTTCAACATCCACTGCCTTCACCTCGATCCCTCCTTCTATATGGCCACTGGGGAAACGGGAACGCGCAACACTAGAAATTGGTTTCCAGTTCCCCAGTAAAGAAAGATAAGTAGGGCGCACCGTGCACTTCCTCGTAGCGAGGAGTGGTGTCACGTACCTGACTTCGGGGCCCGAAATGACGAGGGTGGGCTCTTGCGTGATTCCCGTCCAAACACCCCTGGTAGTGGAGACAGGGACTGCTAGGGCAGTGGAAGGGCTCAGGTGCCAGGAAGCTGTTGTGGTGGACTGAAGCTTGGCAGCACAGGAGACCTCCCAGTGGTAGTACGGAGGCTGGTCACAAGCCTTGGTCAGCAGCAGCCAGGCAGACGGGTGCAGAACCAGGTCAAGGTCAGAACGGGCAGAAGTCGGTAACGTGCTGGCAGCGAGGTACAAGTCATGAGGCAGAGACGTAGTCAGGGATCCAAGCCGAGGTCGGTGATCCAAGAGGGGTGTCATATTGAGCCGGGTCAGGAACCAAGTTTAGCAGACTTTCAAGAACCAGGGAACACAGGGACTAGAGCTAACGTCGATACAGCACTGAAATCAGGCAGACTCTCAAGAAGCAGGGAACACAGGAACTAGAGCTAAGACAATCCAGCACTGAAGCCAGGCAGACTCTCAAGAAGCAGGGAACACAGGAACTAGAGCTGAAGACAATCCAGCACTGAAGCCAGGCAGACTCTCAAGAACCAGGAACACAGGAACTAGAGCTGAAGACAATCCAGCACTGAAGCCAGGCAGACTCTCAAGAACCGGGGAACACGGGAACTAGAGCTGAAGACAATCCAGCACTGAAGCCAGGCAGACTCTCAAGAACCAGGGAACACAGGAACTAGAGCTGAAGACAATCCAGCGCTGCAGCCAGGCAGACTCTCAAGAAGCAGGGAACACAGGAACTAGAGATGAAGACAAACCAGCACTGAAGCCAGGCAGACTCTCAAGAAGCAGAGAACACAGGAACTAGAGCTGAAAACAATCCAGCACTGAAGCCAGGCAGACTCTCGAGAACCAGGAACTAGAACTGAAGACAATCCAGCACTGAAGCCAGGCAGACTCTCAAGAAGCAGGGAACACAGGAACTAGAGCTGAAGAAATTCCAGCACTGAATCCAGGCAGACTCTTAAGAACCAGGTGGGGGGTGCTTCAGCTTCACAGAGAGGTGCAGGATCTGTAGGAGGAGTTCTGTCCTCCTCTCTGCTGCTGACTGCTGAGACAAGGTTTGGGCGGAGACGAGGGGGTGTTGCGGCTTCACAGAGGGGTGCAGGATCTGCAGGTGGACTTCTGTCCTCCTCTCTGCTGCCAACTGCTGAGACAAGGTGGGGACGGAGACGAGGGGGTGTTGCGGCTTCACAGAGAGGTGCAGGATCTGTAGGAGGAGTTCTGTCTTCCTCTCTGCTGCCGACTGCTGAGACAAGGTGGGGGGTTGGAGACGAGGGGGGTGCTGCGGCCTCACAGAGAGGTGCAGGATCTGGAGGAGGAGTTCTATCCTCTCTGCTGCCGACTGCTGAGACAAGGGGGGGTGCTGCAGCTTCACAGAGAGGTGCAGGATCTGGAAGAGGAGTCTGTCCTCCTCTCTGCTGCTGACTGCTGAGACAAGGTGGGGGTGGAGATGAGGGGGGTGCTGCGGCTTCACAGAAAGGTGCAGGATCTGTAGGAGGAGTTCTGTCCTCCTCTCTGCTGCTGACTGCTGAGACAAGGTTTTGGGCGGAGACTAGGGGGATGCTGCGGCTTCACAGAGAGGTGCAGGATCTGGAGGAGGAGTTCTGTCCTCTCTGCTGCCGACTGCTGAGACAAAGTGGGGGTGGAGATGAGGGGGGTGCTGCGGCTTCACAAAGAAGGGTGCAGGATCTGTAGGAGGAGTTCTGACCTCCTCTCTGCTGCCGACTGCTGAGACAAGGTGGGGGTGGAGACGAGGGGGTGCTGCAGCTTCACAAAGAGGGGTGCAGGATCTGTAGGAGGAGTTCTGACCTCCTCTCTGCTGCCGATTGCTGACACAAGGTGGGGGCAGAGACGAGGGGGTGCTGTACCGTACTCAAAGAAAATTATTTTTACTGGTAAGTCAATTATTTTAGGTTTGAAAGGGGTGGGGGTAGTTACAACCTCTGTGGAGTTTTTTTATTTGGCTCTATGGCACTATTGGGGGGATTACCACCCTCATCCTTTTCTATCTTATAACTGAGGCTAGTAATATACCATAACAAGCACCCTCCAGTATCATAATTAAAAGAACGCCATTAACACTATTCATCCCAGAAAAATCCCCAAAAATCTGTTTATTTTTCTACAGAGAGAGGTATTTTGCATTGGTCAAATGACAACCTGAATGAGGATGGAGGAGGACCAGAGTCAAATGGTGGAGAAGATACTTAACCTCACCCTGGAGATCATCTACCTGCTGATCGGAGAGGTGAGGAGGATTCTGGGAGGTCACATGACATCACTCTCATCTCTATTAATAAAACACGGACCTGACTGGAGAGGTGAGGAGTATTCTGGGAGGTCACATGACATCACTCTCATCTCTATTAATAAAACACAGACCTGACCGGAGAGGTGAGGAGGATTCTGGGAGGTCACATGACATCACTCTCATCTCTATTAATAAAACACAGACCTGACCAGAGAGGTGAGGAGGATTCTGGGAGTCTAACATGATATTCCTATTGGTTCCTCAATACAGAGATTTCCTCTTCTGAAGTCAGGTGATCAAATGACCATCACAGTGCCTCCATGTGACTCCCTAAACCCTGAGAGACACAACATGCAGAAGATTCTAGAAGTCACCAAGAAGATGATGGAGCTGCTGACAGGAGAGGTGAGCGGTGCCAGGAATTCTGGGACATTCTCCAGTAACAGACAAGGGATGTGTCTGGATGGTGACTGTATCATTGTGTGTGTGTCAGGTTCCTATAAGGTGTCAGGGTGTCACTGTCTATTTCTCCATGGAGGAGTGGGAGTATTTAGAAGGACACAAGGACCTCTACAAGGACGTCATGATGGACAACCAGCCACCCCTCACATCACCGGGTAAGAGGAGACTTTATTGGAAAGGAGAGAGCAGTACGGAGGATCCACCTAGATCCCCCATCATCTGCTAAACACATAGAAACAATGGATTCAGTCAGTGTGTGTGTTTCCTACAGATGGATCCAGTCATGGGAACCCACCAGAGAGATGTCCCCGTCCTCTGTATTCCCGGGATTCCACACAGGAAGGTCACACCATCCCTCACCATAATCAGGTAGATGGATCCAGTCATGGGAACCCACCAGAGAGATGTCCCCGTCCTCTGTATTCCTGGGATTCCACACAGGAAGGTCACACCATCCCTCACCATCATCAGGTAGATGGGTCCAGTAATGGGAACCAACCAGAGAGATGTCCCCATCATCTGTATTCCCGGGATTCCACACTGGAAGGTCACACCATCCCTCACCTTCATCAGGTAGGTGGGACAGAGCACTTAGAAATTAGCAGCGCTTTTAAAGTCTATAAGATGACATTCTTCAATGTAGTCTCTTGTTATTATGGCACATTTTTCATAGACATAATTTTCATTAATTTTTGGGGTTTAGATTGAAGACCTGACTCATATAAAAGAGGAAGAAAAAGAGACGTATGTGATTGGTGATCAGCAGCCTACAAAGGATTTTAAGATGATCACGAACAATAAACTGGAGCAATTTTTTCAAGATATTGACACAGGTAATAAACATCAAGGCATATATATATATGTGTGTGTGTGTGTGTGTGTGTTTGGAACATGACATCAATATAACGTCATGTTCCCAACAAATGAAGAGAGATACTGGACACCATATGAAAGGTCCATCTCCATTCCTCAATATAACGTCATGTTCCCAACAAATGAGGAGGAGATACTGGACACCATATGAAAGGTTCATCTCCATTCCTCAATATAACTTCATGTTCCCAACAAATGAGGAGGAGATACTGGACACCATATGAAAGGTCCATCTTTACTCCTCAATATAACATCATGTTCCCAACAAATGAGGAGATACTGGACACCATATGAAAGGTCCATCTCCATTCCTCAATATAACATCATGTTCCCAACAAATGAGAAGGAGATACTGGACATTGTATGAAAGGTCCATCTCCATTCCTCAATATAACGTCATATTCCCAACAAATGAAGAGATACTGGACACCATATCAAAGGTCCATCTCCATTCCTCAATATAACTTCATGTTCCCAACAAATGAGGAGGAGATACTGGACACCATATGGAAGGTCCATCTCCATTCCTCAAATATAACGTCATGTTCCCAACAAATGAGGAGGAGATACTGGACACCATATGAAAGGTCCATCTCCATTCCTCAATATAACTTCATGTTCCCAACAAATGAGGAGGAGATACTGGACACCATATGAAAGGTCCATCTTTACTCCTCAATATAACATCATGTTCCCAACAAATGAGGAGATACTGGACACCATATGAAAGGTCCATCTCCATTCCTCAATATAACATCATGTTCCCAACAAATGAGAAGGAGATACTGGACATTGTATGAAAGGTCCATCTCCATTCCTCAATATAACGTCATATTCCCAACAAATGAAGAGATACTGGACACCATATCAAAGGTCCATCTCCATTCCTCAATATAACTTCATGTTCCCAACAAATGAGGAGGAGATACTGGACACCATATGGAAGGTCCATCTCCATTCCTCAATATAACGTCATGTTCCCAACAAATGAGGAGGAGATACTGGACACCATATGAAAGGTCCATCTCCATTCCTCAATATAACTTCATGTTCCCAACAAATGAGGAGGAGATACTGGACACCATATGAAAGGTCCATCTCCATTCCTCAATATAACGTCATGTTCCCAACAAATGAGGAGGAGATATTGGACACCATAAGAAAGGTCCATCTCCATTCCTCAATATAACATCATGTTCCCAACAAATGAGGAGGAGATACTGGACACCATATGAAAAGTCCATCTCGATTCCTCAATATAATGTCATGTTCCCAACAAATGAGGAGGAGATACTGGACACCATATGAAAGGTCCATCTTTACTCCTCAATATAACGTCATGTTCCCAACAAATGAGGAGATACTGGACACCATATGAAAGGTCCATCTCCATTCCTCAATATAACATCATGTTCCCAACAAATGAGAAGGAGATACTGGACATTGTATGAAAGGTCCATCTCCATTCCTCAATATAACGTCATGTTCCCAACAAATGAGGAGGAGATAGTGGACACCATATGAAAGGTCCATCTCCATTCCTCAATGTAACGTCATGTTCCCAACAAATAAAGAGATACTGGACACCATATGAAAGGTCCATCTCCATTCCTCAATATATCATCATGCTCCCAACAAATGAGGAGGAGATACTGGACACCATATGGAAGGTCCATCTCCATTCCTCAATATAACGTCATGTTCCCAACAAATGAGATACTGGACACCATATGGAAGGTCCATCTCCATTCCTCAATATAACTTCATGTTCCCAACAAATGAGGAGGAGATACTGGACACCATATGAAAGGTCCATCTCCATTCCTCAATATAACGCCATGTTCCCAACAAATGAGAAGATACTGGACACCATATGAAAGGTCCATCTCCATTCCTCAATATAATGTCATGTCCCTAACAAATGAGGAGGAGATACTGGACACCATATGAAAGGTCCATCTCCATTCCTCAATATAACGTCATGTTCCCAACAAATGAGGAGATATTGGACACCATATGAAAAGTCCATCTCCATTCCTCAATATAATGTCATGTTCCCAACAAATGAGGAGGAGATACTGGACACCATATGAAAGGTCCATCTTTACTCCTCAATATAACGTCATGTTCCCAACAAATGAGGAGATATTGGACACCATATGAAAAGTCCATCTCCATTCCTCAATATAATGTCATGTTCCCAACAAATGAGGAGGAGATACTGGACACCATATGAAAGGTCCATCTTTACTCCTCAATATAACGTCATGTTCCCAACAAATGAGGAGATACTGGACACCATATGAAAGGTCCATCTCCATTCCTCAATATAACGTCATGTTCCCAACAAATGAGAAGGAGATACTGGACACCATATGAAAGGTCCATCTCCATTCCTCAATATAACTTCATGTTCCCAACAAATGAGGAGGAGATACTGGACACCATATGAAAGGTCCATCTCCATTCCTCAATATAATGTCATGTTCCCAACAAATGAGGAGGAGATACTGGACACCATATGAAAGGTCCATCTCTATTCCTCAATATAATGTCATGTTCCCAACAAATGAGGAGATACTGGACACCATATGAAAGAACCCTGTGGACTGATAGACCAATATAAATGACTCTGAAATGGAAAACATGAAAAAAAAATTTTTTTCTTCTCCGGCAGATGGTTCCAATTTCAGGAATTCCTCAGAGAGACATCTATCTCAAGATTATGAGGAAGATAATGGCCTCACACGATATTCTCTAGAAGTGAATCCCATTCCTGATGATTTAATACACGAGGGCCCGTACCAATTGCAGTGGTCAACGAATTCCTCTAATCCTGAGGAACCTTCTGATAAATCACATGGTGTTAAACCAGAAATAAATCTGAGATATCACAGTATAGATATATCAACAGATCCTTCAAATTCCAGGGAATCTTCTCTGGGGGTTGAAGAAGTTCACACAGGAGAGAACTCATTGTGTTCAAGGTGCGGGAAATCATTTACAAATCTTTCTGAACTTCTTCTGCATCTCAGATCTCACAGCAGTGTGACCTATACCTGTTCAGAGTGTTGGAAATCTTTCCCGGACAAGAGTGAACTTCTTAAACACCAAAAAAGTCACATGGGGGAAAATCTTTATCCGTGTTCCCAGTGCGGAAAATGTTTCACTCAGAAAGGAGATCTTAACAGACATCAGAGAGTTCACACGGGTGAGCGCCCTTTTCCTTGTTCGGAATGCGGGAAATTTTTCGCTCAAAAAGCAAACCTGGTTACACACAAGAGAATTCACACCGGGGAACGCCCCTTTTCGTGTTCAGAGTGCGGGAAATGTTTTCGTGACAGAGGAAAGCTTATTGTGCACCAGAAAATTCACACAGGCGAGCGTCCTTATTCATGCTCTGTGTGCGGGAAATGTTTCATCCGGAAAGGTGGCCTTCTCGTACACCAGAGAAGTCACACGGGCGAGCGTCCCTACTCGTGTTCGGAGTGCGGGAAATGTTTTACGGAGAAAGGAAAGCTTATCCGACACCAAAGCAGTCACACAGGAGAACGGCCTTTTTCATGTACGGAGTGCGGGAAATGTTTCTCACTTAAAGAAAATCTAAATAAACATCAGAAAACACATGTCCGTTAATTGTGTTGACAGCTGTGCCATTAACCAGGTTGAACCGCTCCGTTCGTAGAACAACCATGTGGTAAAAAGTTTAAAGAGTCTATCCCTTTAAAAGTGACCTTGTTTGAGACTCCAGTGGTGAGATCTGCCTGCTACAGTTCCTGGCCATCTTGGGATGGTAGGGAGAGTATGTTAGATGTTCTCAATCTCTGGTGACTTTGAAAACTGAACTCTCAATGGATGGAATGGGGTCAACAAGTTTGGAAAAAGGAATATATAGCAGTGATTCCCCCTCAGGAGTTGCTGGCCCTCCTAGCCTTCCTTATGATGACCTTCCCGTTACCTGTACCCAGACACTCACCTACCCGCAAGCAGTGACCAATGGACAGACTTCAAGGCCTTCAGTCGTCTTTTGCTAAATGTATTTGGCTCATATATCTAGAGAGAGAGGGTTAGGGGTACTGGATACCCTCAAAATAGAAAAAATACATTCGGCCTACTAGGAGCAAAATTGATGATGGCTCCAATGTCTCAATGGTAACTTCCTAGTTACAGTTGGAACTAACTGGTGTCCATAGAATCTTCAGTAGCTTCCTCTGAACATCAGTGGATCCTATTAAGTGTCTCTACTAGTGGTCATAGATACTGCTTTAGCAGCCTCCCAGTAGGATCTGCTTTTTGGACCCTAAGCAAACAATCGGACACCTTAAAGAGATAAGAAATTGGGCTCCCATCCAGTGTCCAGCCAACAGAAGCTTCCTCTTGACTCTCCTGGACATTCTTCTGAAGATGCTTGCTCTGGGTAGCCACCTTCCCAATTCTCCAGGCTCTGTCACAGGCTAGCTCAGATTCCTTGGGCTTTGGTTTGGGCTTCCTCCTCCATAGATACTGCCTTAGTAGCCTCCCAGTAGGATCTGCTTTTTGGACCCTAAGCAAACAATCGGACACCATAAATACATAAGAAATTGGGCTTCCATCCAATGTCCAGCCAACAGAAGCTTCCCCTTGACTCTCCTGGACATTCTTCTGAAGATGCTCGCTATGGGTAGCCACCTTCCCGATTCTCCAGGCTCTGTCACAGGCTAGCTCAGATTCCTTGGTTTGGGCTTCCTCCACCAGGCAGGAAGGACCTACAAGACGAGGAATTCTCCACACTCATACCTGTCCCAGATGCCAGGCTTGGGAGGAAAAAAAAAGACCTTTCTATACTGTGACCCTGAATATTACTTGGGGGCTACCATAGTCCTATGAGGTGGATTCCGCTGTGAGGCTGGAAATGAGTCCGTCCTGCCTCAAATCATGCTGTAGAGATAAAGACATGTCCCGATGGCTCCACACCTTTCCCAACTGTGTGGTTAGCAAGTAAAAGCAACCTCAGCTCACTCCATCTAGGCCACGCTTCCAATGCATTTCGCCCTGCTTATGGAGGTCCATTATTAAACCTCGGGTGAGGTGAAATGCGTTGGTGGCGCGACCTAAATGGAGTGAACTGAGGCTTTCTCTGTACACAGCCAGGACGTGTGTGGCTGCCGGGATGTCTCTTTATTTCCCAAGACCTTCCTTTACATCCATCATCTCTTCAAGGGCAAAACCCTTCTAGAAGGGCACCCTAAATATTAATCTCCAGCATTGGAATAAACCCCTCAGTGTTTGGCCAAGGCAGAATAAATATTTATAAGCAACATTCATTGTACACTATATTGCCAAAAGTATTGTCCCCACCCTCCAAATCATGTGATTCAGGTCTTCCAATCCCCCTCTATGGCCACAGGTGTATACAATCAAGCCCCTAGGCATGCAGACTGCTTCTACAAACATTGGTGAAAGAATGGGTCACTCTCAGCTCAGTGACTCCAAGCGTGGTCCCGTGATAGGTGGCCACCTGTGCAATAAGTCAATCCGTGACATTTCCTGGCTACTAAATATTCCACGCTCAACTGTTGGTGGGATTATAACAAAGTGGAAGCAACTGGGAACAACAGCAACTCAGCCACCAAGTGGTAGGCCACGTCGGATGCCGTGGTGTAAAGTACGCCACCACTGGACTCTAGAGCAGACTCTAGACTCTCTGGAGTGATCAATCACACTTCTCTCTCTGGCAATCCGATTAACGTGTCTGGGTTTGGCGGTGGCCAGAACGGTACCTGCCTAACTGCATGGTGTCAAGTGTAAAGTTTGGTGGAGGGGGGGATTATGGTGTGGGGTTGTTTTTCAGGGGTTGGACTTGGCCCCCTAGTTCCAGTGAAGGGAACTCTTAAGGCAACATTTTGGACAATTTCATGCCCCCAACTTTGTGGAAAGAATTTGGGGATGGCCCCTTCTTGTTCCAACATGACTGCCCACCAGTGCACAAAGCAAGGTCCATAATGAGATGGAGGAGCCAGTTTGGGGTGGAGGAACTTGACTGGCCTGCACACAGTCCTGACCTCAACCCCATAGAACACACCTTTGGGATGAATTAGAGCGGAGACTGCGAGCCAGGCCTCCTCCCCCAACATCAGTGCCTGACATGACAAATGTGCTTCTGGAAGAATAGTCCAACCTTCCCATAGACACCCTCCTAAACCTTGTGGACGGCCTTCCCAGAAAAGTTGAAGCTGTTATAACTGCAAAGGGCGGAGCCAACTCAATATTGAACCCTACAGACTAAGACTGGGGGGCCATTAAAGGTCATGTGTGTGGGAAGGCCGGCCGACCAATACTTGGGGCAATATAGTGTACAATGACAGAGACCCAACGATCACAGATAAGGTCCTCAATAAAGCTCAGGCTGCCTACAACCTAGCTTCAAACACTACTTTTAAATAGGGACACTGCAGCTTGGGGTAGGGTCCCTACAATTGTACCTTCTCCTTTTCCAGTGATGATAACGCCATCATTTTGAGGAGGAACACTGGCGGCTTTTCCCAGAATGGACGCCTTTACTATCGATGCAGAGTTTGGACTGTCCATTGTGGGAATCAGCTAATGGTTTATTTGCTATTTTATATATATATTTTTATAGTCTTTATGGTGAATTAATGATTTGCCGAATGTCTAAAAAACTGCCGTCACATCCAATCAGAAATCGTCTTACACCGATGTACCTTTTAGTTGGCTGCTTCTCATTGCTCTTTATTTTACTTTCCCGAAGAAGTTGACTTGTCATTGGTCACCACACTGTAAAACTAATTAAAAAATATATATTTTAAATCTTTTTTAAACTCTGGTTTTATTGTGCATTCATCGGTTATTTTCATTTTCTAACGTAAAGGGGTCTAAACCTTCCAGTATTCTTAGTCACTTAGATCATAATTCCATGAATTTACTATGAAAGTTGAGTCCATTCACAGAGAGTCATACATTTCCTTGCCTTCTTTGTGATCGATAGAGAGGAATCAGGACCTCCCTTCCTCCTGCCGGTGACCCCTCTAGGGATATAAAGACCTATATAGAGGAATCAGGACCTCCTTCCTCCTGCCGGTGACCCCTCTAGTAATATGAAGATCTATATAGAGGAATCAGGACCTCCTTCCTCCTGCTGGTGGCCCCTCTAGTGTAGTGATAGAAAGATCTATGTAGAGGAATCAGGACCTCCTGCCGGTGACCCCTCTAGTGATATAAAGATCTATATAGAGGAATCAGTACCTCCTTCCTCCTGCCGGTGACCCCTCTAGTGATATAAAGATCTATATAGAGGAATCAGTACCTCCTTCCTCCTGCCGGTGACCCCTCTAGGGATATAAAGACCTATATAGAGGAATCAGGACCTCCTTCCTCCTGCTGATGGCCCCTCTAGTGTAGTGATAGAAAGATCTATGTAGGGGAATCAGGACCTCCTTCCTCCTGCCGGTGACCCCTCTAGTAATATGAAGATCTATATAGAGGAATCAGGACCTCCTTCCTCCTGTCGGTGATCCCTCTAGTGATATAAAGATCTATATAGAGGAACCAGGACCTCCTTCCTCCTGCCGGTGACCCCTCTAGTGATATAAAGATCTATATAGAGGAATCAGGACCTCCTTCCTCCTGCCGGTGACCCCTCTAGTGATATAAAGATCTATATAGAGGAATCAGGACCTCATTCCTCCTGCCGGTAACCCCTCTAGTGATATAAAGAGCTATATAGAGGAATCAGGACCTCCTTCCTCCTGTCGGTGATCCCTCTAGTGATATAAAGATCTATATAGAGGAATCAGGGCCTCCTTCCTCCTGTCCGTGATCCCTCTAGTGATATAAAGATCTATAAGGAGGTTCAACTTCAGTTCAACTTTTGTAACATATTGAAGAGTTATGTTGCCAATGGACTCTGCCAAGTCAGCAAGTGGCCATACTCTCAGCAGACTGGGCCTATGGAGGTATGTTAATGC